TCAGAGCCAGCAAACTTACACATTCAAGATATCCACAAGAAACACGGTCAGAAAGGGAATGTTAGGTATTTTTAGTCAGATAGAAATTGGATAGATACTTTATGTATTAGAAATGTTTAGTGGAGATAGGATGTCTAGTTAGACTGTTAAATGCTTAGGCATGCTTATGAGTTTCTACAGGGTACATCTGGTCAAGGATAACTAGAGAGAAGAGTTGATGACTGTCAGCAGACAGGTATGACCAGCTGCAAAGCTGGTAACAGAGACGTCTCGGTTGACGTTTCTGTGTAGTATGGGGCTAGCCCCACCGAGGGGATATAATGTATAGGCCTGGTGGGTTCAGGGTCTTTCATCTTACATCTGCCTGCGAGCAGTTTGGAGGTGCAAGATACCTGAGCGTGTAATGTTAATTTTACCTGTGATCCTTTGAATAAATCAGCACTGTTTTGAAGTTACTTGGACTGTCTCGTCTCTCAGAGTTAGCAATGGTAACAAGAACCTCAGTCCTTCAGGAAGATGCACAGAAAACACAATCTGAATCAGGAGGGTCAGGCAATATTCGGTGGTCACAAGGTAGAACAATCTGGCAGCTTCCTGGTGGGAGGAAGCTGCCTATAAAGGGGTGTAAACAGGTGCAAACAATTGTCATTGATTAAGGTAAAGAGTCTGTAGCTGAGATGAGACTGTAACAGGAAGTAATATCAAAATAAAAGCATGAGACCGGAAGTAGAGGGGACAGAATCATGACAAATATATGTAGTTTAACAACTATTTATTTATTTATTTGGTCTATATATTTTTGTAGGCTGGGCTACATGTACACATTGAGAACCACTGTACCAGAGTCAAATTCCTTGTGTCCAGCACACCTGGCCAATAAAGCAAATTCTGATTCTGATTATGCTTTGAGCATAAAAACTTTAAGCTGCACATATTAATATGTATTTTTTTAACTAATGGACCAAATGAATTTTTTGAACATGAAAGATGACACATGCTGTATACTCACAATTAAAACCCAACTCTGTAGTCAGTTCAGCTCTTAGTGAAAACTAATTAACTGTGCATATGTAGTATTGTCTCACATCACACTGTAAGTGAAAAACATTTACCTTCATCATGCCCTCATTAAAATCAGAATAGACCCTATGCCATAAAAACACAGAGATGCTACATAAAATATAATAACACCACCAACAACATACTTACTGTATAGCATTAAAAGGAACATTGTGGCAACTTGTAATAACAAACATTAAATGAAATTAGTGCAGCACAGCAGTTAAAGTCTGGGGGCCTGCAGACCACTGGCGACAACCTCGCCATGCTTCACAATACATTTACTGTTGGAGGTCAGCGTGGAGTCAGCTAAAAAAAGCCACACTCGTATTGACACTAAGACTTTACTTCTCTGGATTTTGACAGCTTGAGACAATGAACATGCCACTGCTATACTGTCTCCCATTTATTTTTATACAAGAGTCATTTCACTGGATGAAGTGACATATATTTATACATGTTTGGTCCCAAGTAAACAATTTAGAGGTTAGCACATGAGCAAATAAGGATTAGAAAACTTGTGTCAAAATTCTACTTTTTTACCAATTTTAAAATTCCCATCTGCTGCTTTCAACATTATTATCTACCATTCCTGCCCACCATTTTCTCTTCTCAGACACACACACCTCTTACTCCTCCTTCCTCCGAACATTTCCTGCCCAGTGTCTGTCACCAACAGAATGAATGACTCATGAATCTGGCGATCCTGATCATTTCCCCAACTGCCACCACAAATGACTTTGCCTGGTTTCTGAGGTATTTGGCAGATTTTCCCTGGATGTTTTGGGAACACACAACTTTTGTTCCTATAGTAATATTTGGTTAGTGGGATGGCTTTGAGAATGTTTTTGGGGAAAGGGAGAGGAAGTAAGAATTGGGGTGAACAGAGGAGAAAGGAGGGAAGGAGAAGAGTGATATTTAAAGATTTCTCCCAACCAGTCACAACTAAAACCAATAAAACCAATAGTCTTGTTATGCTCTTCCCCTCCACCCTTTTCCTCCCTTTCCTCTGGCATTCATTCCTCCTTTCCTTCCTTTCCATTTACTCACCCCATGCATTCTTCCCTTTTCCACTGCAGATTGGGATCACATGTGTTGAGTGTGACTGTGAAGAGGTGGATAAGTAAAATATATGATTTGATGCGAGAAGCACATTTTTCTCTAGTCATGAAGGTCTCATATTATTCCGTTTGCAGATTTTTTTTTTTTTTTGCAAATCAATGTATTTATCTAATGCATGTATTTTAAACTGAATTTCCATTGGCTGGTAAGATGAAACCACTCAACTGGGTTTGTTAGGTCAGATCAAATGTTGCAAATGTTCTTAATTAGAAGAAGTTTAACAGGTGCTTAATGGAGAGATTCAACCAAGCCAAACCAGCAAAGTCCAGTAATGCATAGTATGGATTTACTGAGCTTTCAAACAGAAAACAGATCTGCAAAACATGTAAGGAACTGCACTGTCTTAATCCACTAGCAAGAGGGACATATAAGTCAGGAAAGATGGTTTGGAGGCTAAACCTGGGGTTTAAAACACTTTACGACCAGTTTTCAGAACTTTGGAACATTATTACACTTGCAGTCATTTTATCCTCTGTTGTGACAATCGCCAGATAAAAGCTAGAACAGGTATACAGTGCCTTGCGAAAGTATTCGGCCCCCTTGAACTTTGCGACCTTTTGCCACATTTCAGGCTTCAAACATAAAGATATAAAACTGTAATTTTTTGTGAAGAATCAACAACAAGTGGGACACAATCATGAAGTGGAACGAAATTTATTGGATATTTCAAACTTTTTTAACAAATAAAAAACTGAAAAATTGGGCGTGCAAAATTATTCAACCCCCTTAAGTTAATACGTTGTAGCGCCACCTTTTGCTGCGATTACAGCTGTAAATCGCTTGGGGTATGTCTCTATCAGTTTTGCACATCGAGAGACTGAAATTTTTGCCCATGCCTCCTTGCAAAACAGCTCGAGCTCAGTGAGGTTGGATGGAGAGCATTTGTGAACAGCAGTTTTCAGTTCTTTCCACAGATTCTCGATTGGCATACAAGGAGAAGACTGATCAGAGATGCAGCCAAGCGGCCCATGATCACTCTGGATGAACTGCAGAGATCTACAGCTGAGGTGGGAGACTCTGTCCATAGGACAACAATCAGTCGTATACTGCACAAATCTGGCCTTTATGGAAGAGTGGCAAGAAGAAAGCCATTTCTTAAAGATATCCATAAAAAGTGTCGTTTAAAGTTTGCCACAAGCCACCTGGGAGACGCACCAAACATGTGGAAGAAGGTGCTCTGGTCAGATGAAACCAAAATCGAACTTTTTGGCAACAATGCAAAATGTTATGTTTGGCGTAAAAGCAACACAGCTCATCACCTTGAACACACCATCCCCACTGTCAAACATGGTGGTGGCAGCATCATGGTTTGGGCCTGCTTTTCTTCAGCAGGGACAGGGAAGATGGTTAAAATTGATGGGAAGATGGATGGAGCCAAATACAGGACCATTCTGGAAGGAAACCTGATGGAGTCTGCAAAAGACCTGAGACTGGGATGGAGATTTGTCTTCCAACAAGACAATGATCCAAAACATAAAGCAAAATCTACAATGGAATGGTTCAAAACTAAACATATCCAGGTGTTAGAATGGCCAAGTCAAAGTCCAGACCTGAATCCAATCGAGAATCTGTGGAAAGAACTGAAAACTGCTGTTCACAAATGCTCTCCATCCAACCTCACTGAGCTTGAGCTGTTTTGCAAGGAGGAATGGGCAAAAATTTCAGTCTCTTGATGTGCAAAACTGATAGAGACATACCCCAAGCGACTTACAGCTGTAATCGGAGCAAAAGGTGGCGCTACAAAGTATTAACTTAAGGGGGCTGAATAATTTTGCACGCCCAGTTTTTCAGTTTTTTATTTGTTAAAAAAGTTTGAAATATCCAATAAATTTCGTTCCACTTCATGATTGTGTCCCACTTGTTGTTGATTCTTCACAAAAAAATTACAGTTTTATATCTTTATGTTTGAAGCCTGAAATGTGGCAAAAGGTCGCAAAGTTCAAGGGGGCCGAATACTTTCGCAAGGCACTGTATTTATATTAGCCTTCTGTTTAAACATTCTGCCCTTCCACGCAGCCTCAATGTGACAATGTGATGTCATGGTTCTGATGTTAGCAGCCACACCATTTGCACTCTGTTAGTGTGATAATGTATTAAATATGGTGATGAAACACACTAAAATAAAGACCAATAAAGACACTGTGTGTTTATATTGGTCAGCCATGCATGCACAGCTGCATAGTCGGATTTAAAGAGAGTTGAATATTGACTTGTGCGTCCACCAGAGCTAGCTGGAGACTGCAATGAAATGGTAAATGGATTCTTGAATTCATTTCATTCTGCATCTGCACCCTGGCTGTTCCAGTAGCCTCAGTGAGATGAATGAGAGAGCAGTATTATGTCACATCAGCTCTCAAATCTGTCTGAACATGGCCAGTGAATCACTCACTGAAGCTGAAACTGCTTAGTTAAACGTCTGTTTTAAGCAAATGTTTCTAGCCAGCAATATGCACACCCAGTGCCTAAACGTTGTCTGGTCTCACTTGCTGTTTAGTGTTATATAACAATAAAAATAGTGAAACAAAGTCTACCAAGGATGGAGGTCACATCAGGTTGTATCTATGTGCATGTATTGTGTGTACTTGTATAGTATGCTATGTGTGTATCACTCAGAATGGGTCCAATACTTATGTGCATGCACAAATGTGGGTGTGAGCCTGCATGTCAGTATGAATTTGAAGTATGTGTGTGTGTGTGTGTGTGTGTGTGTGTGTGTGTATGGCTGTGCTTCTGTGCACATATTTGCAAATTCTGCATATGTAATGACAACAAGTAAGAATTTGCTAATGATAAGAAGTAAAAGGTGTTCCATGTCTTACCTTTACTTCACATTTTTTATGGCAGGACAGCCGGCACGCTGAAATAAGAGAGACAACATTTGGTTTGTAATGGTTCATTTAAAGAGATGACAGCAGATGTAAAAATAAATAAATAGATAAGTAAATAAATGTCTCAGGAGGAAAGGAGCACATATTCTCTTTTATGGATAGGAAAGCCCTTGATGTTTCTTTCTCAAAGCAGCAGGTGTGGATATAACAGCTCTTTATCACAGAAGAATTACAGATTGCAAAGTGAAGCTGAAAAAGAAAATGTCATTTACACTAGGATGATCGTTTGCTGAGAACTGCAGCAAGGTCAGCTCTAATCCTGACGCAAACACGCTGTGGTGCTGCCCCCAAGTGGCCACATGAAGCAAACATCCATTCAATAATTTGTCTGTATTTTAGTCATTCAGTTTTTGATCCAGATGCTTGAACTTTGACTTTTTGGTGCTTGGGTGCTAGGTAGATGGTGGGGTGAGAGACTGAGCTGGGTGGTCTTGATAGACAAAACACTGGTTAAATAGGGTAAACCTCTGTAACAGTGATAAATGGATTACTATGTCATTTTGTGTGTGAAGCATTGCTTGGTAATTAGCCTGAAATGGCAAGTGTTAAGTGAATGTTTGTTTGAGGCCGATGTCCAAGCCTGTGTGAAAGTGTTTAGTGTAGTTATATTACTGACTGCTATTTCATTAACTGATGTTAAAGAAACCCGTGACCCCGTTTGGGACTAAGTGGTATAGAAAATGGATGGATGGATGTTAAAGAAACAACTAGCTGAAAAATGTCAATGTCAGTGTAAGAGAAAACCCTAATTAAAGATCATGACAAAGATTTATAATGAAAAGATTCTGCAATTTATAAATGATAAAATTGAAGCAGGAATAGAAACTAGCAGTGTAAAAGGAAAAAAGTGATAAACATCTGTGCACATACTACATATGTGTGGAATTCCAGGTTTCCAGAATATAAATGCATGATGATATTCTTAAAAACATTTGAGCACAGCAGTGTTCCTCTATTCTGCTTTCTATTTGTGCAAATAATTGCCCATGTTTCATCATGTTTCCTTTAAATGGCCTTTGTAATGCATCTTGGAAATGTGGAGCTAATCCATGTAGGCACCAGAGGGAATCATTATCATCATGTGGTTTTATACACTGTTAATGAGTCCCACTTATCCACAGGAGGTACAAGCCTATCCTCACACGCACTCATCTCAGAAAAGAGCAAAGCAAAACATGCCAACACCAAATAAACAAACCAGTGCATTATTTCATACGTTTCCCCTAAATTAAGCCTGATGTAACTTGTATCTTTGGATGTCTAATAAAATATAAAATAAGGTTCTGTGGATATATAGCAAGGTTTGAAAAAAGGTTTGCCACCTTGGGAAATATGGCTGTTTACTGTGTGGTGGAGAGTTAGATGAAAAGAATGAAACCACTTATATCACATATCTTCCAATTAAATTACAAGGCTACAGCCAGCAGCTGGTTAGCATAGCGTAGCCCAAAGACAGGAAAAAACAGACAAAGCTAGCCATGTTTAACCTATACAAAAGCCAGAATTTAAAAATGGCAGTTTGCTGTCTTCTAGGTGGTCACATGCTGGACCCTTTCTTATGTGAGAGAAGTAGCCTCCATAGGTCTCAGATGGTTGCCTGGCAACTGGTCCTGTCCAAGAAATAGTCCAGCACGTAACCGCCATGAAACAAACAGGTGTATTTTCCTAAAGTTGAACTATTCCTTTAAAGGGGTTAAGGGCACTAACAGTAAATCAGAAGAATGTGCCGATAACACTACAGTCATTTAGTGTATCTGCACCCATCTGGAAGAGAGCGCAGCACATTGTCTTACTGGCGCATTATATATGTTGACCACATGCCCTCCAGCAACATAGTCTTTACATAGGGCACCAAGCAACATTTCCTGGCAGAAATATAGGGCAGAAAGGATGCTCAGATGAGCATGTCCAGATGTTCTACTTGTGAACTCAGACCGCGGCAGTGTCTCATGCTAAAAATATGCTTTCTGCTGAATACACCAACTTTCTACAGATACTGTAAGACATTAGGAGGTAGTCTGAGGCTGTTAACTGGATGACATTACAATTCACCATTTAGCAAGGAGAGCTTGTATTTTAACGTAGAAGATGAGTGAGCAAAAGAGGAATAAAAATGGAAGGGAAATCTCCAGTGCTCAACTTTACAGTCTCTTTCATTTGCTTTCCTTGTCTAGCTCCCAGTCCCCCATACCCCAATTTCTCTCTTTTCATTCACCCACCACTCCGCTGACCCTTCTTTCCGTCTTTTCCCTCTTATCTAGGCTAATGCAGCAGCAGCAGCCATGTTAAATTTAACAGCAAATCCTCAACCAAAGCTGTATACAGGCCCCCTCTTCTTTTGCCAGGCTTGTGTTTGTCAACTTGGCTTCTGCTAAAGATGCTGTGCTTGTAGTTCAAAAGGAGAACTGGAGAGTGAGTCAAAGTGTATAAGAGAGATGAAGGAAGAAGAGAAGAAAGACAAAGAGAAAACGTGAGGCTGCCCGGGAGTCCTCTGGTGCTAATATCCCCAGGACAATTTCTTGAAGTGACAATAAAACCTTTAGTTTTTCTAAAATTAGAATCAATAACATGTGACTGGACTGTGAAAGAAGGGAGGCATGGGCTCAGAGGGAGGGAGAAAGAAGGGAAAAACAAATCTGAAACAGCAGATGCGTGCATACATACATATAATATGCACAGCAATGTACAAACAAAAACAAAGACAAATGTAATACATATAGGATTTGAAAGGAAACACCGTAAACCTAAACAGCAGATTTGGATCTATCAAAGATTTAACACTTGTAATGTAATCTACATTTCCTGTTCTAAAAACATGTTATAAGAGAGGTCTTTCCTGAAAAAAACACTCTGCTGACATGAATCTATAAGTTTCTAGCAGCAACATCAGCTGCAGGAATCACTTGATTTTGTGGTAAAAGAAATACCTGCAGGTTCTGGATTGTTGGTCGCAATTTTATGACCTCTCCTTGCGTTCTAAGATATAATGCCCATTTTTATTAATTTGTGATATTTTCTAGACCAAAATCAGTTAGTTGATTAAAACACCTAAAACATTCTAAAGCTGTGTTTCAGGGCTCTGTTCACACAAAAAGTGGCAACAGGAATGAATGATATTATCAGTCTGATATTTTTTGCATAATTTAGCAAAAAATATTTTTCTCTAATTACACAAAGTGCTTGCTAGTAGTCACCATGGATGAACCACCTACAGAAACTGTTACTGATTACAGATACACACATTTTTGGGGAAGGCTGTACAAGAACAAGTTTCAGCAATGTCACCAAAATAAAAAAAAAGTGATTATAGATTTAAGAAAACACCAAGTTCACAAATTAAAGGAAAGGAAATTAAAGAATTAAATATTGGCCAAAATGCTAAACTATTTTGTTAAGATGTAAATGGCTTTCTCTGATAACTCATTTGTTCTTGTTGAGGGAAGAATGATGAGCATCCAGCTAAACAGGCATAGCACTTTTATCATTTTTCTCTTTAAAACAGCTGAGTATTCAGGCCTTGAGTTCATAGCCTGGTTCTGCCAGATGTTGAAAGTAGTTGCAAGAGAAGAGGAAAATCTGGCTCACTTATTTGTCTTCATAATGGTTCAAAATGCCTATGATTGCTTGTGCATCTACTGGTTTTTCCTACCTTTCGACCCGGTGCATGCTGGGATAGAGAGCAGCCTTGCCAGCCATTGTTAACAGGAACCAGGAATATTTATGAATGAATAACTCTTTCAACCAGTCTGGGACTCTAAACCAGCCACTGTCTGGTCACAATTCACTCAGCATAATCTCCTACCTGCTCAGATTCAAAGGTGAACTCAACACCACTGACACTCACCTTTGCAGATGAGGCCTTCCTTGGTGATGGCCTGCTTGCATATATCACAGCTCTTGGCCTTCTTGAATGGCTTCAGCTTGAAGGTGTGTGTGTGGACGCCCTCCAGCTCATCAGGCTGAGGGAAAAAGAGAAAGGGAGAGTATCAGCTGAACAGATGCCAGTAGGTCCATGGCCAATGCAAACACATTTGGCATTCAGCAATGATATATTCGTCTATGGCTGCACATAGGGAACTCAGTCTCTGAAGGCGTTTGGTTTCAGTTGACAGACCAGTCAACAGCTTGTGTCTTCTTTATTGTGAGTGTTTTTCTTTTACTTTTTTCACTTTGGCTGAGATCTTCATTTGTGAGAAAATGATTATTAGGAACCTTTTCCTGTTACTTATGGTACCATTACTTAATGGTATTGTGATAGTGCTTTCTTTATGGTAAATTACTTTAAATTGATTTATTGCTTAATTTTCTCAAGCAAAAATGCAACATTCACTTGTTCCTTCTTCACAATAGACTTAATAAATGAATAATCTAAAATACATACAAAAAGTGGCATTATTACACATATAACAACATAGTTAACATGTAATCGTAGTTTTCTGTCATACAGTACACTTCAATTTAGCAAAGCACCAAAAGGCTGTTCATTTACATAATCAAGCATCTTCATACCTGGCATTATTTTGTGCCACGATATTGCATGCAAATACACACACACCAACATAGTCCGCACACCAGTAGAGGATGTTTTCACTTTGAATTTCTTTAATTACATGACTAATGAATGATGTACAGGAGAGTAGAATAAAGCCTCACAGCAGCCACCTACCTGAAAAACCCCAATAATGATGTGTGTATACATTTATGTAAGCGTGGCTGTCTGTGTGTATGAACTGTACTATATGCACGTGAGTGTTTGGGATGCTGGAACATTTTCTTGGAACAGCCTGACGACAAAGTAAGTCTAAAAACTGCACCAAAAGCTGAGCAGAGCAGTGAAGAAGGAGCAGTGCAGTCAGAAGCTAAGATATTGAAAAACAAATGATGATGAAGGTGGGGTTGCGGTTGATGTGTGTTTGTTGTTTGTTGGCAGGATAAGGAGAACTGAAAAAACCTTTTTGCTATTAATTTAATGATCTAATAAATTCTTGACATGGAGTGACATTTCCAACACTTTCAAAGTGTCACTGTGTTAAAATGTGATTCTCCTTCAAAGCAGCTCAACATTAATTTAGTAAATGCAGCCAAGAATACTATAACTGGGGCACTAGCTTTCCTGCTAAAGGTGCATAAAGCAAATAAAACTCACACTGAATGCATGAGGGTGTCATAAAAAACATCAACAACAACAAAAACTGCAGTCATCTTTTCAGTCCTCCCTGTGGCAGTTTTACTTCAGACTGATGCATTTCTCTTTACACATGATTTAATCAGGATTTATGCTAGCATACAAGGCCATTTGGGTCAGTTTGATACTGTCTAAATGTCAAATTCATAAAAAGAAAAGACATCGAGGACAGAAAAAAATCTGCTCTTTACTGGCAGTCTAGTCACTCAAAGTCAAGCCAAGGAGAACAAGCACTCTCCTGGATTCCCCTATACTCCTCTCATCTCTCCTGAGCTCTCTTTTCCCACCATCTCTCTGTCTGAACACCCTCCTCACTGAATCATTATGATAATGTCATTTCCTTTGTGTATTCGTGAAGCTGGGTTGGTCGGACTGGGCTCTGCTGGCCTGTAAATGGTGCTTCTTAGTGAAGACAGTATTTCGTAGAAACCTTGTTCCACATATCACCTTCAAAGAATGAACAAATGATCCCATCCAGAAACTGTTAGTATTAGGTTGACCAATCCAATACATTATCAATGAATCCTTAAAATTTTGTTTTGTGCCTGCAAAGCCCTTGCAATTTAAAAAACAGAAGAATGCTTGTCCAGGTATACGTGATGTCAGTGTCAACAAAAGGATTTTATTCCATTTCTTTCAAATCAAATCAAATCAAATTTTATTTGTATTGCACCAAATCACAACAAAAGCCACCTCAAGACACTTTACAAAGTAAGGTCTAGACCTTACTGTTATCACAATTATTATAGAGGAAAGCCCAACAAATCCCCCCTGAGCAGCACTTGGTGACAGTGAGGAGGAAAAACTCCCTTTAACGGAAGAAACCTCCAACAGACCCCGGCTCTTGGTGGACGGCCTTCTGCCTCGATCGGTTGGGGTGAGTGGATAGAGGAGAGACAAAAGAAAAGAAAAGCAACAAGACACAACAAACAATCAAACAGTGGGCAGGTTGATGTGGCTGGTGACTGTTCATCAAACGTAGAGCTCCAGAGCCAGGACTACTTGTAGAAAGGTACAGGGAGAGAAAGAGGACACACTATGGGAGAGAGGAGACACACGGTTAGTGATGTGTAATGGTGGCATATAGATCCATGGAAAGAGAGAGACTCAGAGCATCATAGGCCCCCCCAGCAGCCTTGCCCTATAGCATCATAACTAAGGGAAGGCTCAGGGTCACCTGATCCAGTCCTAACTATAAGCTTTATCAAAAAGGAACGTCTTAAGTCTAATCTTAAAGGTAGAGAGGGTGTCCGCCTCCTGAACTGAGACTGGGAGTTGGTTCCATAGGAGAGGAGCTTGATAGCTAAAGGCTCTGCCTCCCATTCTGGACTCTAGGAACCACAAGTAAACCTGCACTGTGAGAGTGAAGTGCTCTGTTAGGATGATAAGGCTCTACAAGGACTTTAAGATACGATGGAGCCTTGTCATTAAGGGCTTTGTATGTTAGGAGAAGGATTTTAAATTCTATTCTAGATTTTACAGGGAGCCAGTGGAGAGAAGCTAATATGGGAGAGATATGATCTCTCTTGCTAGTTCCTGTCAGTACTTTGGACTGGTCTATGAACTTTCTTACCATTGGACTTGCAATAAACAAGTTTCACCAAGAAAATCATTTCTAATCAAATCCATGGGGAAGAATAGGAAGATTAACATCTAGAGGCACTGTCTTATCCACTGCTCTATAGCCTATGTTCCACTAGCATCTGTAGTTCTGGGATTTCTCATAGAAATACTACCAGTTCTCCCACTATTATCATTACTAATTTTAGTCAGCACTACTACAGCTAGAGCTACTCATTTTCTGATTGCTTTCCAAAGCTCCTTTTTTTTGCGTGCCGCAGTCAATTTGGCTCCAAGCTTTTACAAAAGTGTATTTCTCAGCAGTTTCATCCCCATATCTCCCTAAATCTTAATGGCTTTTGTGACACACTCACTATAAGCTCCAGAAAGGAATCATGGCTGACCTTGGCTGCACAGAAAGAGAGACAGCGTATTACAACAGGTACCTTCAAATAAACAATATGCTACAGGCATGCTGATAACTCTTGCAGAAAGCTTAATTAGCAACCTCTATGCCATCCAGATTATTAATGACCTTTTTCTTCCACAAGTTTGTTGATGTATTGAACAGCAGCTCAGCTTTAATCCCTGCATGTAATCTGATCTGATTGATAGCCATCATAATTAAAATTAAAAGGGACAATGCAAAGCAGTGTAGAAGAAAAATGAACAAAAAAGGAGTAAAACATGCAAAATAACAAGAAATAAAGTATAAATGTGACGAGCCTACACCCAAATATGAAATATTAGCAGTTTCCCACTGAAGTCTATATTAAAAGCCTTTATCACTACTGCACTACTGCAACCAAACAAGTCCTAACATCACTTCTCTATGAAGCACCCTGGTCACACTCTACAGCCCTGATATTAAAGATTACCTGGCAGCTAAACCAATCAGATGCAGCCAGCTGTGTCACAGGCAGATGCCATGGTTACATGGCTGGCATGGCAACTGGGGACAACCTGTCCTGTCAAACTGTGATGGATGAGGTAGTTTAAAAAAGGAGGAAAAGAACATACAAGCAGAAGTTTGCAGAGACACACATGTATAAGCATGCATGCACACCTTGGCACACTGGCCCACAGTGAGAATCACCACAACAGGAGTGCAAATGGTTCTTGGATGACTGCCATGTAGCATCTGGGCCTGAACAGGGCCTCAGCAGCTTAAATGGCACATAGAGAAAATGAGAAATCACACTTGGTTGCTGCTTCTACAAGGGACAAGACCCTCACAGTTCCACAGTTCCATAGTCTCATTTCTTAAAACAGTTTTTTGTTTGTTTTGTTTCAGGGAATAAAGATTATAATAAAGCTCACAGTTAGGCATGTCACCAGAAATCCAATACACTCATGAATGCCATCAGTTTCCTCTTCATCCATGAAGTTTTTAATCCAGTAAGAAACAACTTGCCTCCAGGTTTTCACTATCAAGAAAAGCTTAAGTGTCGCCAAGGAAAGAGGAAGAAACTTTTTCCCCACAAATACAGGTAACCCCTGTTACCGGGCCTACCTTTACAGAAATTTCTTACACAACACAAGGTTCATGTAGGAGTTTACATTTTCTGTATGCTCTGAAAACTTACAAGGCATCCAGCTTTTTCCAGTATTTATCGGTACAATATGGCAGGAACCTACATAGTGTTTAAAGTAATGCCAATTTATCACCACAGGTATCAGCAAGATAAAGAAAATCAAGAGACTCTTGGACAAACATGAAGAAAACCCACCACCTGAAGATATTTTCAAAACTCCTTAATGCTTTTAATATCAGAACATTTCAGCTGTCGATAGGACACCTAAATTCCAACCTATGTGGTACACATCTGAAACCATACCCATCCTGTGAAGACAGGAGCATCAGAATACAAGAGTAAATATTTGTAGTCTGGATCTCCTGTCAGGTGCATACTGAGCTTCTGCATCTGGGACTCAGGCCCAGAAACTCAAATCACACTCACTTTCTCTCTCACACAGGACCATCAGCACAAACTTTCCCATGTCCCATGTATGACCAACATGCATCCTCTAATGTAACACTCAACATGTGGCTCCAATTATAGCTCAGTCACAGGAATGTCTTTCTGCATGAACTGGAAGAAACACAAAACTAAGGAATAAAGATGTACAGTATCATTTTCATAATGATGAAATTCCACACAATCCCTGTAGCCCATTAATCTCACAGCCACAGTGTCCCCTAGTGTGCAATAA